TCCGATGCTTGATGGTGTGGTACCTAATCAATGCTGTCGCGTGCGGGACGTGTCACCGATTCATGTGTCACCAGTGCCAGGCTCTTTCGTAAAGAATCTAGTCAGAGGAGGCAAGGCGTACAGTAGATGGGTCGACTCTAATATCACACGGAAACTGTTGAGGGCAGGTTGAATGGCGTTGATCGGGGTCGCGGCTTCCGACGCGGGCGAGAGCAGGACCTGGCCTTGCCGTGCATTGGCTCAAAGCAAGCTTGGACTGAAAGTATGCCAAACCCCAGCGCATGACATCACTACCCGAACTGCGGCTGCGCTAGCGAGAGGTGATCCCCTGCCATCTGTGCTCTGGAATGTGCTCCTACTGGCCACGGTCCCTGTGGCTTGGGCACATGCCCCTGGCGTTACCGGAGTGAATGGCCCGGGCGGCGGATGTTATCATGCTGGGTCCGCCCAGCGCTGGACTGATTCGTTCTCGGGGCACGGGAGTGAGAGCACTCTCTCTCCCCACCTTTCGCGTTCAGTGTGAGCAAGTACCGTGACGGGGGGGTTGTTTCCAGCACTGCGACGTTGTGCTGTTCATCCGCCGAGGCGCGGAGTGGCCCTGAAGCCACGTCAAGCCATCCATCACTGGCCCAGACGAACACATTCGCGGCCTGTCGCCTCCCCCAGCATGATCTTTGCGCACAGCCACATTTGAGGATTCGTCACCATGGTCTGCGGCGTCTGCGGCGCCGTCTCATCTTCACACCGATCCAATGCCCCACCTCAATCGCCAGGTCTTACTTGTACACTTCACTGCTGCATCCGACATTTTCGCATACGCAAGCCAAGCAAGCGTCTTGGTCGGAAGTGCTTTCTAAAGCCACAAGGCGGTTCCGCTCGATGGGCGACCGATCTTGCTGGAGCTTGCAACCTTTCCCCAGACGCCACATGTCATTCTCAGAAATTGCACGTTTTTCCTAGGTACGGTACCTTGCCCATGGCCCTTTCCAATAAGTCTGTCGGTACTTCAGCGTAGTACGTTGGAGCATTGCACCAAAGAACCAATATGTGCTTAATTATTCCTGTTCCTGGGTCTGGACTGTCTCCGATTAGGCCTGCTGCGACGGACTGGAGTGAAGGCGGCAGTCGCGCCACAACGCGTGACGGCCAATTTCCTACGAGAGATCAGTCACATCATGGGATACAGTCTCACGCAAATCAAGATTTCCCGTGGCCGGCCTATCACATTTCATCCTCATGCATTTCATTGCTACACCAGTAGTACCATGTCGCGAGCCGTGTGACGACCCGCTGGTTTCCAAAACAAGATCCAGATGCCGTGGCCCAAGTCGCGGGAGACATCGCTGCCAAACCCCACCCGTCTCTGTCATACCTAGTGCAACCCCTTTCCCTTCTGCCGTCCCACCCGCCTTGGCTGGGCCGCTCAACCGCGGCCGCTACTGCCAGTCATGTCAAATATACCATCAATCGTGAAAAGTCATGAGCCCAAGTGTCGCGTGAACGACTCTGGCGTGGTCACACCGAAGCTGTCACAAGCCGGGAGGCCATGGTGTCAGATCTGGTGGCGATCTGCTTGGTGACGTGCTGTAAGTCGATACGCCTCTGAGTCCGCGGCGTACCATACCACAGTCTTACGACAGTGACAGTCCCTCTAGATTGAGGCTGAGGACGTCTAGCTGCATCGCAGCCTCATTGCCTAGCCCCTGGTCATCTATCTCGCCTTTGTCGATAGCTTCGCGGAGCTTCTTGGCAGTCTGCAACAACGGCTCGACGTAGCGCTGCTCAATGGCAGCGCCCATGCCAGCGGGAACGAGATGCTTGAAATCCTCCCCCTTGAACAAAAAGTATAAGAAGTTGGCCACCTGGAGGTGATACGGGTGGTTTTGCGCCCAGAAATCCCACTGCGAGACGACGTCCTGTTCCTTGAGTTGCGCCAGGCTGGGGAACAACAGGTACTGAAGCGTGTCTAGCCCTTCAGGCCCTGAGAAGGCGTTTGTTGCTTTCGTCTTATGTGCGATTATGATTTCTTCCCTGAGCCACGAAACCGCCGATGCCTGCAAAGCCGAGAAGATGCAGTTCTCGAGGAGATCCTCGAGTATCTTGAGTCGTCCTTCGTCGTCTGGATCGGCGTGCAATACGAGGCCCGCCAACGTGTTTGCTACGTTGCGAGAGTTCAACGACGGGTGGAAGGCGGCGATGATGGTGAGAAGATGATGGTAGGGCATAAAGTCGGCTGGCGTCGCCCCTTGCCCGGAGATGCGTTTGGCATTGTCGAGCCAGAGGCCCATGACGAGGAGGGCTTCGGCAGTGCCCTGGTTGCTGCTGATTTGCTCCTGGGGCTCGTCGCCGACGAAGAGCTGTAGTAGCTTGTGGTGATCTGGCAGCATGGTCATCTGGATTTGGTCGTGGTTCGTTTCGAAGACCTCCGACGAGAATAGCCAGTATGCTACGAGGCACCACACGCCTCCTGTGGAGAGCTTGACCTTGCTTGGACTGTCCAGATCATCCAGGTCGGCAGCCAAAGGATTGGCGATCAGAGGTTCCTCGAAGACTGCTTCGAGCGAAAGAGACTGGATTCTCGTGAGGCCTAAGTCTCTGGCGACACCCTAAGAAGTGGTCAGCGGGAGACTTCGAAGAGTTGGGTGTTACCCTTACTGCGAGCTGTCCGATCAAAGCGTCACGTTGCAACAATTCTTCGGTCTCTTTGAAGGCTTTCATAATGCTCCTCCTAGCGACAATCCTCTCCGGGTTGTAATACTCTAGAAGTCTGGACGCCCATTCTAAATTGTTGCTGTTAACGTACGCCTCAATGATGGTGATCATGAACGATTGGAGAAGCCTCTTCACCAGGTCTGGCTCGGATGGTGCAGTCTCGTCCGTCTTCTCAGCCTCTGGATCGGGCGCGTTCTTGCTCGCGTCGGACTTTCCAAAGGTAGTGTCGAGTGCGGTGCTGGACTTGCGCGTAGGGAGCGGCGGTCGCTTCTCTGCAGTCTGGGAGCGCACAAAGGTGATGATAGCAGCCGTGGCCTCTGGGCTGTCGGGTTGGTAGGCACGATAGATAGCTTGCAGCGTCGAGTGCAGGAAGCGCGAGGGGTATTTGACCGACAATCGCTTGTGAAGGATCCCGAGCATGCCCAGGAGGTCACAAACTTGTTTGCTGAGGTCCTATCACTAGTATCATCACCATCGCCACTGAGATCACCCAGGACCTCGAGGATCTTGATGATGACCTCGCGCGGGTTGCCCAGTTGCGCAATCGTCTGTAGGCACTGCTCGCTTCCTTCCACGGCTATCAAGACCTCGACCAAGTCCCAGCCAATCTCTTGTGTGAGCTTGGCATCTTGAAGAATTTCATGTAGTGTCGGGAGGACTTCGGGAGAGATGACCTCGCCGATGATTGTGAGATATGTGAATGGATCGGTAGCCGGGGGCTTGGACTCTTTCAGGGCGTCGATGGGGTTCTTGTCGGATGCCATTGTTCAGATGGATCAGCTCATCGGTTTGAAGTCGGAGTTGAATCGCAGTTCGGTCAGTGTCAGCATGCACAGTGGGATTCCTAACGAGCGAGGTATTGAGAGCGGGCAGGGTTCTATTGCGAGGAGGCTACCGAAAGCTGGGCGCGTGAACGAGGGGAGGTGAGTTTCGTCATCGTACTCCCCCCCGTTGAGAGCCCCGCCCCGCCGTTTAGATGCGGCACAGCTCAAGGTCTAGAACATGAGTCCCCCGCACTAGCAATTAAAGGGTCGCATGCCCCCGCAGTAGCTTTGCCCATCGCTAAGCAGATATCTTATCGAACAAGGCGTGACCTTATCAGTCAGGTCTCAAATGTTTGGGCCACCTTATGACAATCCCAGCTTGAATTTTGATCATTCCCAACTCCTGGTCATTTTCCTTGTTTCGCTATTTACTGACTGTTGATCATGATCACAAAGCAAAAAAGCAAATAGCGTGGTGCACACAACTCATGAACTAATTCCAGGCACGCTTGAAATTCGGCGATCCAAATCCAATGAATCGCATTCAAGAAATCTGGCTGCTGAAAGACTTTCGGTTCTTCGAGTCCTCAAAATGCTTTGCTAGTCATAGTTGACCATCAAAGCTGAACAAGCATAGGCAACAGACCAGGCCAAGGCGCGCATCGTCAGACTCTTTCAGCTTTATGGCGATGTAGAGACGTCCACGGCACGTCGGCAGCTTCGGCAACGCCGAGGACATCAAGTAAGGCTCTCGTCTTCGTCCCAACGGCGCATTCTTCATGCACATTACCCCTGAAATCCGCCTCATCGGACACCGTAACAGCTGGTAGCAGCTGAGACATCTAACATCCCTGGGACTCGCGATGAAGATCACACCGATCCCCCCCAATAAGAACATACTTTGGGACCCTGCCTCAGCGTCGGGCGGTTCAGCCACAGCCAATCTCGCGTACCAAGTACCAGGTAAGCTGAGAAACCCGGCTCCTCACACGGCGTAGGCGAGTTGTTGGTCGTCAGGCGTCACCGACCAATGAATCCTTCTCGATGCCCGACGAGGCACGGGTAACGGTTGTGCAGTAGCGCCTTGGAGGGTGCGACATAGCCATCCCCAGGCCTCCCTTGTAGCCACCGCAGGCGAAAATAACAGCTTTGCCACTTTACGTTCACCAGGAAATCGGGAGAGGGGCGTCGATTTTCGGGGCGACAGGTCGGGCAACGAGTGAACATGGTCAAGCCAGACATGAACGTACGACGTCAGTGCCCTCCATTGAGTAAGAAGCAGACGACTCGTCCGAGACCCCCAAGACTCAAAGCAACTTCAATGAGAATGTTCCAGATTAGCTTCTCGCTGGGGTCGTATCACGGGCGGCGTGGGTCGATTGACATCAGCAGCGAGAATAGCCACCCCTCCCCCCGAAATGTCGTGTAAGCTCATCAGCGACAGACCAGTGCCAAGGTGTTTACTTGAAGCTGTGGCCGGCCGTCGGAAACATCGACCGGGAACCTGGATTGATTAGAAGAGACTTGAAATGGCGCGGGCAATCCACTTAATCTCCAATACAACCCCTTTCCAGCAATCCGCCTAGAGCTCAAGTAGAGGCCTCCCTCACTCTTTGTTGCATCCAGCGTATCATCGCAAGCTTGGTCCTCTGAAGTTTTATTCGATCAGACGGAAGATATTACTTATAGCACACGGTCTGCAGCCCCATTCTCGGGTCCGCAGGGTGCATAACCTCAACGCCACGCAATGGTCGATTCAACCCCTCCAGCTCATGAGGTGCCCGCCATGCCCAGTGGTTGAAGGTCGGGAAACCAAACTACATCATATTCATGCCTGACCAGCTCCGTTACGATTCTCTAGGCTGCAGTGGGAACAAGGTACGTTGGGTGACGCACTTCGTCTGGCCTGAGCTCACATCCGCACCACAAAGCACGTCAAGACGCCCAATATTGACAAATTCGCCGCCGAAGGGACGCGATTCACGAACTGCTTCGTGCAGGCTTCGGTTTGTGCCCAGTCGCGGTGCAGCATCTTCACTGGCAACTACAGCCACGTTGCCGGCCACCGCTCGCTTGAGAATCTCATCAAGCCCTGGGAACCCAACCTGTTCAGGTCGCTCAAAGAACGAGGCGGGTACCACGTAGCTTGCCTAGCGCCACGCGGAGATATGTTTGCGCCAACAGTCACCGAGCTCTCCGTCGACGAGTATGGCTTTCTCGAGACGCCAGAGTTCACGTCACGCTGGGGCTCGTTCAAGGACGATGACGGCAACAAAGAAGACATCTTCAAGCGGCTCTTCTATCGTGGTCTTCGAGACGCGAAGGAAGCAGAAGACTATGACGACGCCGTTGTGCGTTCTGCGCTCAAGTGGCTGGAAAAGCCTCCCGAAAGCCCCTGGTTGTTGTTCATGCCGTTGATGTTCCCCCATTTGCCGTTCATGGTGGAAGAACCGTACTTTTCCATGTACGATCGCAGCGAGATGCCGCCACCCAGCAGCCCAGACGATAAGGTCAGTATCGCCGCGGCGGCAGCCCTGTCACCGTCACTAATAGACCTTCCAGACTGGTCACGAGCCACAATACATGAAGATCATCCGTGAAAAGTACGGGACGAGTCGCGCAACGCCCGAGATTTGGGCCGAGATAAAGGCGACCTACTACGGCATGATATCTCGTCTTGACGATCAATTTGGCAAATTGATGGAGAAGACGAAAGCTCTTGGCCACTGGGACAACACGATTACCATGTTTTTCACAGACCATGGCGAGTACCTCGGCGACCATGGACTTGTGGAGAAGTGGCCCTCGGGCGTGTCCGACAGTCTCACACATGAGCCCTTGATTGTTGGAGGCTGTGGTCTGCCGAGTGGTGTCGTGTACGAGGGCATGGCGGAGATGGTCGACCTGATGCCAACCTTGTTCCAATTCAGTGGAATACCAGAGCACTTTCCACATTGTGGGCGATCCATGGCAGAACTTCTCACCTCCGCAGCCAGGAGCGGCGGTCACGGTGGCGACGAATCGTCTGTAGAACATAAAAAGTACGCGTTCTCTGAAGGGGGCTTCCTCTCAAGCGAGGAACCACTTTTGGAGCGGGCTGGCTACCCCTACGACATCAAAGCGGCACTCCAACACGACGACACGGAAGTAGTGGGAAGAGCCGTAGCTTGTCGGGACAGGAAATGGACGTACATCTATCGGTTGTATGAACCACCCGAGCTGTACGATCGAGAGAGGGATGTGGGCGAGCTCCACAACTTGGCGGAGGAAGCTGAGTATGTCGAGGTGAGGCGAAAGATGGAGGCGGTCATTCTGCGGTGGATGATGAGCACCAGCGACTTTGTGCCGTGGAAGAAAGACCCCAGGTTTCCAGAAGTGCTCGCAGGGAAAACGCCGAAAGAGCAGTGGGAAGCAAGAACTGCGCGGTAAGATGATGTGCTCACCTTGCCCACTTTGCCTCATGAGGTGTAGCTTGATAGATGAAGCATCTCAACTTGGGGTCAACACGGGGTGGTTGCCCCACATCGGGCGAACCTGAAGGGCCGGCCCCAGGTGTGATCGGCCTGTCCTCCGGCGTCCTGGATCCTGAGCCGGGCGAACAAGGGCTTGTGGCATTTATCAGGAGAAGAGAGACATAGACAGACAACATCGGCACACATCACTTACTGCACCAACTAAGAACCATGGTCATTTGTCACCTCGCTAGCTAGAGGGACAGAGCGATCAGGCCCCTCCCCCACACCATTTGAGGATCTGATGTAACAAATCTGATACATGCACGGCCCCAAACACGGATTCAAACGTCTTGGCCCGGCTGCAAGGCCCAGAATACACAGCTCCGAATTCACTACACGTTGGGCACGCACAGCTGACTGCCCCTCCGTCAAACACAGTCGTAGCCAAGGATGGACGATTGAATCATGATGAACCCCTGAACCATGGCCTTGGCATCTGAGAGCTTCAAACGTTTTCTGGACCAAGGGTCCATTCAGGAGCTTCCCAAGCGGAACCTCAAGCTCCTCAGTGCTTGACCAATATATGCCCATAGTCCAGTCGTTTCTGGGATTCTGGACTGTACTTCTATCCCATCTATCTATTTGCCATCACTGGTCTGACCACATCAGCTCACCATGAAGTCCCAATTGCTATTCCCCTTTTACGTTGTCACCTCACAAGCAGTACGAGAGTCGATATCGAACAAACCTGATGCGGCCAGTGGCGTGTGTCTCTCTTCACAGCTCCTCGCCGCCCATGAGCCTCTTCCAATCTGCACAACACGCCATGCCACCGTCGCTTCAGACAAGCAGCAATTATCGTCTGAAAAGGTACTTGGAGGCGCCGAAGATGCTGGCTCCAACCCCTGGTCGCAAACCCCGACCAACTGCTATCATAATTCAACCTTGAACTCCGACTTTTGCGTCTATACCTCTTCCCGCGTTGCCAATGGCAAAGGCACGGCCATAATCACAGACAACCTGCGCGCCGCGACTCTCGCCCACGCCGTGGCCCTCCTCGCCGACGCGACCGACGACCCTCTCGTCCACGCGGGCTCCCACAAGCCCATCAATGTCCAGAACGCAAAGTACAAAATCGTGCCCATCCCTGGCAAGGATCTCGGCGCCGTGGCTACGGAGCGCATCGTCCGCGGCGAGATTATCCTCCAGGAGACCGTTTCACTGCTCATCGATTACGCCGCCTTTGGAGCCGTGCCGCGGGACGAGATGCGCAGACTGCAGGGTGACGCCATCCGGGGGCTGCCGACGCGGCATCGCGATCGGTTCATGGAGATGTCGCCCGGCGTGCATGGCGGAGACGTCGGGTTCGACGAGCTCGTGGAGCGCGTCATGGCGACGAATTCGTTCGATGTCGATACGGACGACGGTGTTCGCGACGATGAGTTCTTCGCCGCCTTTCTTGAGAGTAAGTGGGATTGCCCTTAGGCCTAGAAAGCCTAGTCAGTCGAGCACCTCCCCTCTTTTGATGCGTCAGAGTCTTGTCCTAACACCACTTGAAGCCGCGCGGATGAATCACGACTGCCGCCCCAACGTCGACTACCGCTTCGACCCCTCCACGCTGACCCAGCGCACCACGGCCATTCGCGACATTCTGCCAGGCGAGGAGCTCACCCTCTCCTACATCGAGTAAGACCACCACTCTGCATCACTCATACCCAAGAGAAGAGAAGGACAACGCCCATGCTAACGCCCGCCAAGCCCGCTCCAGGCCCGCGACGCCCGCCGCGCTCCGCCTCCGCGCAAACTGGGGCTTCGACTGCACGTGTCCGGTCTGCACGCTCCCCCACCCGCACACCGTGGCCTCGGACGAGCGCATCGCGCAAATGGCGTCCCTGCGCGCCGAGCTCGCCGACTACCGGGCGTCGTCGCGCGCGACCCCGGCCATGGCTGAGTTGCTCGTCAGCCTCTACGAGCAGGAGCGCGTCTGGGGCACCCTGGCCGAGGGGTATACGCTCGCGGCCATTGAGTGGAACGGCGTCGGGGACGCATGGGCGGCGACGCGGTACGCCAGGCTGGCCATCGAGCACGGCATCGCGAGCCAGTGGGAGGGGCACGGGGATGTGGTGCAGATGAAGATGCTAGCCGAGGATCCCTGGGGCCACTGGAGCTGGATGCTGAGAACGAGGAAGAGGATGGGGTGGGGCCAAGGGAGAGCCGACGAGGGAGATGACGAGGAGAGCGATGAAGAGTGATCGCGGGACATGGGATCTTGAAACTGTGGGAAATATCTAGTGCCGTCAGTGTCAGTCAGCAAAACCTGCAACAAGTGCTCTCAGCCCGTACACGTGATCGTGACAATTGGCGCCCACTGTAACATCCACAGTGGTAGCAAACAGCCGTCATCACAGAGCCGGGCATTCGTTGTAAAAGTAGACAATACCCAATACCAACAAAGCAGAGAAGCCGAAGCACAGTCAATTGTTGAGGTAATTATACAGCACGAGAATGTACAAGTATTCTACAGCCCAACATGCGGCCCCACCCCCATCATCACTGTCTCCAGTGCTGGATGTAAATACCCAGAGAAGAAAATCGTGAAAAAAAGGGAGGCGGCCATGCAGATATATACGTGGTCGAGCGCCGCGTCCCATGCCTGGATTGAACAGCCCCTATGAATCTCGCTCGCGCCGCACGTGACGTAACTCCGTCGTCGTCGTGCAGGGGTAGTAAGTAGAGAGAAAGGCTATGTGTTTGTGCAAGTCGTGGGCGAAGAGGGTATATATGTAAGAGAGCCTTTTGTACGTGTCGTTGGAAAAACGCCATGCCGGGGGTGGAGAACGCAGAGAAAATGGGCTTTGTGCAGGGTTGGTCGGTTGATCTCTGTTAGGAGAGGAGTAGACTGCTTGGGGTTCAGCGGTACTCCTTCTCCTTCAAGCCGCCGATCTGATCCATATCAATGGAGTAGAACTGCGACTTGTTCTCTTTCTCGTAGGCAGGCAGCTGCTCTTCGCGAACGGGCTCCAGGCCGACAACGCCGCCATCACCGACGCGGACGACAAGGACGCGACCATTCTTGCGCTGGCCGGCTTCGTCCTGCTCATCAGGGAAAGTGATGTGGATCTCGGGAACGTTGTCGGGAGAGTAAGGGGGTGAGTTGGGGTTTGACAGCATGGGCTGGCCGTCCTTGCTGATAACGAGCACGGAGGAGCGACCGTTCTGCGTCGTCTTGATGGTGAGATTCTGGTGGTTGCGCACACCCTTGACTTCATGGTAGTCAGGGAGCATCTCAGCGCGGGTCATTGATTGCCGTTTCCTGCGGATAATGAAGAGGACCATGGCCAGGAGCAGGCCAACGAAAACGAGTCCAAGGACAATGATCATGTAATCAAGGACATTGTCGCCAGCGCCGGTGGCGACGTCCTGATCCTCGCGCTCGCCAATGAGGCTGCGGACCTTGAGGTTGTGAATAGAAGGCATCGTAAGTCGTGTGTGTTCAGTGTGTTTGTTGTTTGTCGTGAGAAGGAGCGGGGGATCAACTGTGTGTGCAGTTGAGGTGTGGGTTTCCTTGGCGGAGTGGTTCAAGATAGCTTTGTCGTTGAAGGAGTGAATTATACAATTATCAAAAAAGGCTGGTGTTTGCATATTCAACTATTAGCATCGTGGTGGCGCCATGACGACTCTGGACGGGGCGCTGGGCAGGTCGGGAATGGCTTCAAGCGTCGAGGCTGGCACTGAATATCGAGCATCTCGTTCCAATGTCAAAAAATAGCCTCCTCCAGAAATAGCGTGACCTGCCCACCTGCCCTCTGTACAGAGCAATGTCTTGTCGATAGTAAGGGGCGGACATACGTAAGGGATGGGCCGGCATTAATCGACGAGAAATATGTACGTGTTTCTCGAGTCGTGCAGAGGCTGGGGTGGGCTGGAAAGAAGGGACGGAAATCGACTAAATGAGTGAAGTCGAAAATCCAAGAGGTTGGAGGGGGGTTATTAGGGAATGGCGAGGGATAAACCCAAAAGACACCAGGTGATACTGTCGATGATGCGACTGCGACTTCGACGAAGACAACGACAACGACAATCGACGGCGATGGTAAAGAGCGACGGGAGGAGAGGAGAGGAAGCGAAGGGAGCGAGGGAAAGGGCGGCGCTGGGGATAAGCAGAGAGAAGAAGGAGCAACGAGGCAATCACGGTGCAGGGAAGGTGGACATCAGTGGAGGTGGGCCGGGGTCAGGGGAAATGACCTGCGCCTGCTCTGGAAGCCAAGCTGGGCAACGGGATGCAGGGGAAGAAGGCGCGAGGGCCCTCTGATTGGCCACAGGCCACCAGGAGCCTGGGCTCTTTGGTGGGCCAGTGATGACCCGGGCTTGCCAGGCGACCAGGGCGGGAACAAGGTGACTTCGGATTCGAGGGTACAGGCGTGCGCGAGCGTTTGCAATTTCGACTAAGTACCCAATCAACGTGGTGTGAGCCTCGAGTTGGTGGAGAGGTGAGGGGCGCTGAGGTCGAAACGCCAGTCGTCTATTGGCCTGTCAGATAAGCTCGCTGATGAATGCCCTGCAACAGGTGGCCTGTGTGCTGCGGCCTGTGGGTTGGCCTACGTGCTGTGCGGCAGTGCACTGGCCTCAGCGGCGCCTTGCTCGCTCTCATGGAATGTCTAGGCCTCGATCAGAGCAGGATTGCTGGGCAAGACCGATGATGGCGCGATGGAGCCTCATCAAACTGTCCGGTCCAAGATCCGGCATTTCACCGCCTCCATCAACCCCTTTCTTGCTCGTCGATCTTCCTCCTTCACTGCACTGTCCATGGTGACGCAAAGCACGAGATGACAAGGCATTGAAATAACGACCCATCTATATCGTCAGTCATCGATATCGATAACGGGAGGGCATCAGCATGAAGCATTCATTTCAGGCCCCTACTTTGCCTACCTAAGTACCTAGAAACAGTACCTTGCCTTTGGTACATGTAGACAATGGGCACGGCTGTGCACACGAGCAACAGGGGGGGCATGACGGCGCTTCGCGTTCATCGTAACTGGCAAGACGCCGTGCCCGCTTGGGCTTTGCGCCGTAGTCATTCCGGCGTCTCGCCCACGACATCCGACCGTTTGCTGCCGTGGAGCTCTCACCTCAACCTATCTCACGCCACACGCACCCAAAGACGTGACTGGCAAGATGATGTGGTGGCTGCATCACAGCGTCCACAAACCGCTTGGCGACTTCAATAATGACTTGGGAAATGTTCTGCTTCTCAAGGTACCGCCTCCGCAGCTCAAAGCCACTAGAGGGTTCCATGCAGCCGTCGCCCCTCTGCCGAAGTTTTGTCGGCCTGTAACCATTGTCAACAGGCCCATCTTGGTTAGGAACTTCTTCCACGTGTCATGTGGCCCTGTCACGCCACCGAACGACTAGGC